ACGCGAAGCGCTGTGGATTATGAGATGCTCGATGACCCTGGAGGGATCGATTTTGCTTACTGAGCAGAAAATCATAGATTTAACCCCAAGCTCTTCAACAGCACAATAAATCGCCACCATCATGTGTATATTTGATATTAAACATTAACCTTGGAAACTATTTGCATATCAAGCGAAAACGTAGTCCTGTATTGTCGCGAAGCGTTATGGTTCTGAGATGCTCGATGACCCTGGAGGGATCGTTTTTGCTTACTGAGCAGAAAATTATGGGTTTAATCCCAAGCTCTCCGTCATGCCTCTTAAAATTCATTATCACTAAACAAAATTAATATGTTCTTTCGATAGCCGGCTATCGAGAGATTAAATAAACAACAAATAAACAATACATACTTTTGGTTGCATCGCCAACTTGAGGTGAATCCTAACCGAATACCCTACCCAACCCTCCAACTCCGTAGCACTTATGAGGGTGTCGCTAAGCCGGTGGCCTCTCGTTAAGTAAGTACTACATCAACATTTCCTTCCTTATCCCTAGTTATGGTAAAGATGGGCGTGGCCGGGAATAGCGACAGTCATGCTTCTGTTACTCTTGTTTAGATTGGAACCAATGTTTACTCCTCAGCATTATTCCTGAAAGTAGTCTAACTGAGAATTTCAGAAGATACGTGAGTGTCGCTAGTATCCAATCTACGAAGTATATCATAACAACGCTAACGCTAACGCTAACGCAAGGGGCCCAGCAGACTGCCTTGCGGGACTCCTGCTGGGATGGAAAACGTGTCTGAAAGACAACCATTCAACGATACCTTAAACGACCTTTGCTGGAGGTAGTTACGGGTGATTTTAACCAGATGTAATGGAAAGTTGAAGTTACAAAGCTTGTACACAAGTCCGTCATGCCAAACATTGTCAAACGCCTTTTCAACGTCTATCAAGGTCATGGCTGTGGACTTGGATACAGCTTTGTTACTTCGGATGTTATTCATCACGTACTAGCTGATGATTAGTGGAGTGCCCCTTTCTGAATCCAAACTGTTCCGGAAGGAGAATGTTGTTTTCCTCGACAAACTTGAGCAAACGATTGAGAATGAGTTTCTCGAACAATTTGCTCAGCGCTGAAAGGAGGCTGATTGGTCTGTAGCTTGAAGACAATGTTGGATCCTTACCGGGTTTGCGGATTGGTATGATTTTTGCTACTTTCCAGATGCTTGGAAAGTAGTGCAGTTCCAAACATCTGTTGAAGATAGCGGTTGGAAGACACTGCACTTTCATGCTGAGCCTCTTCAAGATCAAGTTGAATATACCGTCAAACCCGGGAGTCTTCATGTTCTTGGTGCATTTCAGCGCTGAGCAAATCTGGTGTACTGTTATCATATCCACCGGAGACACGACACAAGGGGAGGTATCTAAGTTTTGAACGCATTGCGCAACCTGATCATCGAGCGGACTTTGGATAGTCGAGCCAAGCAAATGCGATGAAGCGACATGCTCGCCGATCATATTTGCTTTCTCCTGTGGGGTGATAAAAAGCCGATCGTCATCATTTTCGACTCTGAGAGGTGGAACGGGTTTGGGATGAGTTTTCAGGACCTTGGCTACCTTCCAGAATGGTCTGGAGCGGTCATCCAGATTCTGAACAACACGCCCGAAACTTTCATTTCGGAGTGAGTCCATTCTGGAAGCAATCTGCCTATTCAGATCGGCCATTTCACGTTTTTTGCCCAGATCTCCAGTCCTCTGAAACTGGCGTCTACGAACATTTCTCAACCCAATCAGTAATTGGGTGTGGGAATCAATAGCAACAAACTTCCCCTCACAGGAACTTGTCGAACGAATGCCTCGTCAGCCATGGATATGGCCTGTTGGAGTCCTTCCAACGTCCAGTCGATGTCATCTACGGTGTTGAGCAGTGGATTTTCATCGATGTTGCTGTCTACTGCGGCACTTACGTAGAGCACCGGTCATGTTGACGAAAATTTCCATCAGTTCATCCGCTGAAAACAGATCGGGGTTGTTGTTTTGCGCTGGTGGTTGTCTCCAGAATCCAGGGGGGGATGGAGAACTTTGGCCAGCAGAATCACCAGAAGTTGCTTGAGCGGAATGCACCCGCGAATTCGCTTGCCTTTGCTGAGCAGCACGAAGAGGCGGGAAATCCTCCGTCCGAAATGCCGGGACTTTGTCCTTCTTGCGTCCTGGTTGGTTGTTAGTTGCCGCCTGTTTTCGGATGCGTTTGAAGTCCTCGCGTTTGGAGCACTGTCTGTCGGAACCTTGGTGAGCACCACCACAGTTGGCGCATTTTAACGCCACGGCTCCATCCGCAGGGCAGTCGGAAGTGGCGTGGTTTTGAGCGCAATTCTCGCAGCGTGGCTTAATGTTGCAGTTGCGGGTGCCGTGTCCAAAGTTCAGACACCGTTGGCACTGAGTCACATCGCGATGGCCGCCACGGTATGGCTCCCAGCGGTCGATGATGCAATTGATGGAGCGGATGGCTTTCAGCGCGTTGAGCGTCACCGTTCCCTTCTGAAAGTGTACCAGGAAAAGGCAATCCGGATACGCCTTCACATTCTCGTCTCTTCTTGTCATCCGATAGACGGCACACGGGAAAAAAAGAGTTCCCATATTCGTGAACCACAGCCGTGAACCAGAGTTCACGGTGTATATTTGAGAAAATTTTGTTCTGGATAGTTGGCCGTGATTTTTAGTTTTTTAGGATTTTTTTCCGAGCACTTGGGGCCAGCTTGTAACGGTCCCTGATTTCAGCTTCGATAAACTTTGGGTCGAAGTTTGGTAGGCCCCTGATGACGACCTTGAATGGTTTCTCACCGGGAATGTCGTGGGTGAAGAATTCCGCCTTGGAATTCCTCAGGTGGGCGACGACCAAGTCATACTCCGCTTTGGTACGGAGCACCACCTTGGTGCCGACTCTGCCCAACTTGTATTCGGCTTTAACGCCCAGCGTCGCTAGATCCACGATGAGCTCATTAAGATGAGCATTTTTCACTACCAATGGAGGTAGCTTCACTTTTGCCGCACTCGGGCCGGCAGAATTTTCGTTGTCGATGGCGTCGCCGAAATCACCGATGTCGCTGGCGTTCGTTGCTGTGACGTCATCACGTCCACTCGCACCATCGGACTGGCCTTGGTTTTTCTTCCTCTTCTTGGATCGCTTCACCGTGGCGGAGGTGGTATTCCCAACGTCGGTGGGAAGAGTAGCGTACCTATTTGAAATAGGTACACTCGTGCTACACTCACCACTGTTCTTCTCCGCTTTCTCACGGAGCCTGCTCCGGGAGCGCTGTCTTCCCATCACACGATGCGACCGACACTACTGACGACGCGAATAAACGTTTGGAATAAATTATCGAACAACTCGACTGAGCGAGCAAATACCGGACTGTACTGCTTGACGAACAAGCAGAGAATCTAAGCCAAAAGCGTAGTTAGCAACCTGTTATATAGACAAACAGCTCTGCCGGTACCATATTTTCTCGCTTCCCATATACATATGCAGCTTTGTCGATATTGGGAAATTCTGCGTGATAAAATTCAAAGCCTGCCATCCGTCGTCTGGCTCGAAGTGGTGGTGTCAAGCGTAACTCCGGTCTGATCTACGAGGAAACCCGAGGTGTGCTGTAGGTGTTCCTAGAAATTATGATCCGTGATGCCGTCACCTGTACTGAACACGCCAAGCGCAAAACCGTCACGGTCCTGGATGTCGTCTACGCTCTGGAGGGACGCACCCTGTACGGTTTCGGAAGTTAAAACTTATCACCAACGTAACATTGGTGGCCCAGAAAAGTTAGAATAGAATTTATATAGAGTATCCCCTGCTTCCAAGTTTGGTTACAGGATTACAACTCTGGAGAGCAGCGGCGCCGATTGTGTAGTGGTAAGCGTAATTACCTGGGTTCAATCCCAGTCAGTGCCGCCGGGATGTTCTGAGGCATAACATCTCTGATCACGCCTTCATTCGGAAGGGAAGTAAAGCCGTTGGTCCCCGGTTCATGAGTTGATGAGCATTTTGTGTGGTCGTTGGGGGCGTGTGGTTCTGAATTGGCAGCAAAATGTTCCGCAATTGCATCCTCCCTATTCGTAGATCGGAGGCGAATGTCACTTCGACTTGTTTTATCTAGGAACCATTCTCTGGTGACTGTGTTGGGGAAGCAGCATATGCATGTACGTTATTGGTGGATTTGTTAGTTATTTCGAAGCTTTTGGACAATACTTGAAATTTACCACTTTTTTCAATAGTTTCAATTTGAAAATTAACAGTCAAAAGCATTGTTATCGATGCGTAGAAATGTTTCTGTTGGATTGATTGGTGATTAAATTTTTGAAATTTGTCCAGGGGCAGCTAAGTTATTAACGTTCAAAATCTTTCATTATTTAATTTTTCGGTTTTCTTACGACGTTGTCCTACGCGAGGGGGACGACTCTATCTACGCTGCAGGAAATATTGTGTTGTGCTGTGGCTAGCTGCTCACACACTGAGTAGATAGAAAGAAGATTGATGATGATTCTGAAGATTTCCTGCAAAAAAATGATGCGCGATTCAAGTATATGCGAGAAATGCAAGAAGATTTTTCGAAGATTGATTCGCTAGTGAGAGATTTTTTGAGCATCTAAAATTGAGATTTAGATGTGTCGCCCCCCTCGGTCCTACGTCAATACAGATATCAAAAATCTAAAAAAATCAATTTTTCTTCTTTTCTTGAAAAAAAAATACGCTCAAAATATTGTTTTTCTAAGTCATCATGGCAAAAAGTCTGACTCACAAAACCGCAAAAAACGACCTTTCGGTTTTGTTCAGAACCCAATATGTTTTCATTATGAGATAGGAAGACACGTAAAAATTTTCGGGAATCTATGGAAAAAAACTGACCTTCTTAGATTTTTGGTATCTTTTCCGATATGTTTTAGAAAAATTAAAACGTATCTGGAAACAAATTTTGATTTGAGCGGTAGAAAAAGCTAATGATTTATTTGGATCTTTTTTTCAGGAAATGACATCAGCAAAAATTACCCGTTGCAAGCATTATTTCCACGGCGTATGCTTGAGAAAATGGCTATACGTTCAGGATCGTTGTCCCCTGTGTCACGAAATTATCATGAATCAAGACGGCAAGAACGGCGATTGCAACGGCGAACAGACTAATGAAGACGAAACTGGCCAGGTACAGTAATTGAGATCTTGTGTGATTCTTCATACCTATTGGAAATCTTGCAGAATGCCAATCAAATGTCCAATTCCAATTCCGCACCGGGATCGCTGGGATCGGAAAGTAGCACACTTCACGCACAAACTGACACTTCAGCGAGCGCCACTACATCATCTCCATCCTTAGCTAGCTCCCCGAGCAGTAATGCCGTTTCTGCCAACAGCAGCAACAGCACCAGCACTAGTAGCTACAGTAGCAGTAATAGTAGTAATAGCACCAGCCGGAACCATACGCTAACGGTTAGTGGCTTCCGCATCCCGAGTCCCTCATCGGTGGCCGGCTCTTCGTCATCGTCGTCGGAGGTTTCAACGCCTGTTCCTTCTTCGGTGAGTGCGACCTCATCCGAAACAGCTGCAGCAACTGCCGTAGCGATATCGCAAATCATCCGACAGCACCAGCTACAGCAGCAACAGCAGCTCCATCCACGATCGTCTGTTGATCGTGATTTTCTAGACGAACTGGAGTAAAAACAGGAATCCAGCAAGGTACTAGATGTATTTCCTGTATTTTCTTACCATTTTGTGAGAGATTGGAATTAATCGGAATTCTGTCCTATGTGTACATTTGTTTTGTGTTGCCTTTGGTGGGGCATTGAGAATTGCAATTTCAATGCCTCCCTTGTGAAGTAGGAGTTATTTTAGCCAAATTGCGGGGTCTACATTATATAGTCAGCTTGAAAAGGGAATACAACCAGTCGTTCAAGTGGAGAAGAGAAAGATTGAAATTGTTTAATTTGGTTACGTACCGGATGGCGAGACAGTATGTCTATCAGATGTGGAAGCACCACCTGCTAGCAAGAGAGATTACAGGTTGCGCGAGGTAAAATACTTAAAGACCGTGGGTGGATGGAAGGGTTTATTTTCTCGTTGCGTGAAAGGATGGTAGCCTCATCATCTTGCGCAATCCTCTCGGTTTGACAAAGTTAGTTCCTTTCGATTTCGTCTCCAAGTTATTTCAAAAGAACATTTTAGGCATGCACAACCAATCGCATTGCCGGAGTAGCTCAATCAAATGTTATTTTGAGATCAACATTTATCGGGATCACAAGAAAACTATTGAGGTAGTTGTTAAACACGGTTGTTGCGATATTTTTGCTGTTTTTTTTTTCTTCAGGAAATCAAATTATATCAGAAGTATGTTAACTCCCAATAACCAAATATAAACAATAACTCAAAATTACGAACCTTGTATCTGATGCTTAGAATCGAAAACATGTAAGCATGTTTATTGAAAATGTAATTTTAATGCATTGTAGAATTTCAAAATTTCGCAATCTATTTTCGCACAATTTTTGAATATCACTGAGTGACTTAAGTACAATTCAATAAACAGGATATTTTTGCATTTTAGACATACCTGTTGACAAATTTATTTCAACCACTCTATAGACTTCCCAAATTCAACCCCGACCCTTATATAATCAAAACAATTTCTTCTTTTCCATTTGAACGGCGAAGAGAAAGATACGCAAGTGATATTTTACATCAGTCTATTTATATGTTGTTCTTTTATTGTTTAAGAAGCGAAACCGCAATGTGACTAATAGAGCAAACAAAACTGTGGGTGGGTTAGCATTAATGGAAACGTGTAAGCATAACATAGCAGCAAAATAAAACAAAAAACTATCTCAACGAACGGGGAAAAGAATGCGATCAGTCATCAGCATCATCAAGGCCATTACATTCTTTTCTTTGCTTTGTGAACCGTATAACATGTTAGATACAATCTGTGAAGAAGTCATTTACGTGTAAATATGAAACTATGAGTAAAAAGTGAACAACTGAAATCACGAGACGGAAAAGCAACAAAAAAAAAAATACTGAAAATATAGACGTTAAGTTCTTATAAATGATGCGCTCTGTTCAATGCTCTGAAACAATCCGAAAGTTACACCCATCTGGATAACCTTTCAAGGCCAATGCATGCAGACTGTTGTAATGAACGGGACATGGAGCTTTAACCCCAATACATAATGAAACCTTTATGTTTTTGATATTTTACTTGCATTCGGTGGCAATCTCAGTTAAATATGTATTTTTCATTCCTGTTGCCCACACCAGTCAAACGCAAAAACCACCGTCAAAAGGGAAGATGTAAAAAAGTCACCCGTTGCTACACGCCATTCCAAAGAAGGTGAAAAGTAGCGAAAAAGCTGTGTGTCGGACTGTGAAAATGGATGAGAAAAACAAAACACAATGAAACAATTTCCCATGCAAAGAAAGAGATAGGGTATGATGGGACATTTTGCATTGGTTTCGGTAGGGTGATTCCGCTGGCTTTTGTTTTTTTGTTTTTCAACACAACTTATAGAGAAAAATGCCAAAACTCAGCCGTGCAATGCTCTTGAAGTTGTTAACGTTTTCGGAGGTGGAGAGCGTGACATTAGTCATTATAGGTAGTAAAACTATTGTGAACATGTGATGACGTTGTGAGGAAAAGCCCCATGTTCTGCGAATCGAGTGACTGAAAATGGTTGATATGTATGAGTTGTGGAATGCTATCACAAACGTTTATCAAATATGGCTCATTGGCAATAATCCACATGAAGAAACTCAACTCGTAGAATAGAGAAGCTTGTTGCTTCAAGTTTACTGCAAATTGTACGCTACATGGTTTGTTAATTTTGCAATATTATATAATGATCTATTTAAGCGGTAGTGACAGATAAAGGTTGCTTGAAAATTGTCGTTAAATAATTGATAAATGGGTATTTCTTCTTCATTCATAATGAAGACATTCTTTTCGACGAAATGTTTGAGCACAAATAATTCAATTACCCATTTGAATACAACTATTGTTTTAACTTGTTATAATAGCATGATGTCTGTATGGCTGCTCTATACGTCCCAACTAGTGAGGACTTCTTTGGCTCGGTCAGTAAAACCAATGCAAGAACTAGCAGTTAAAAAATCATGAAGAAAAAGAAGAAGATTATAGCCCCCAACTGGAACTTTGAATCTGTTTCCAGCAATTCTTCCAAGACCGCAAAACGATCCGACGCTTGTGGAAAAAGTTATTTAGCCATTACTGATTGCTAACCAAACGAACTGCTCAATTATTCTTTTTTTTTCTAAAGGGTGATACGGTCAAAATTTGTTCAAGGGAAAACGCGTGTAAATCGGTGAAATCGTTTATTTAAAAAATCAAATTAAATTTCTTTTTCAAGTTCAATTAGTATAAAATTCAGGAAAAATATTCAGTTAGGCTTCCGCTTTTCCAAATCCGAATTGCCGGGCCTTACGCTTGACCCCTGCCATCAGATTTTGTACAGCCACCTTGTCCACCTTCTTCGCCGCAGAAAGCCAGTTTGCCTTGAACTGCTGCTCGCCCTTAGCAGTTTTTTTGGTCTTCTTTAGGTTCCACTTGACAATAGCCCAGTATTTCTCAATTGGGCGGAACTCTGGCGTGTTGGGAGGGTTCTTGTCCTTGGGAACCACCTGCACGTTGTTGGCGGCGTACCACTCCATGGCCTTTTTACCGTAATGGCAAGATGCCAAATCCGGCCAAAACAGTATGGAACAACCGTGTTTCTTCAGGAAAGGCAGCAGACGTTTATTCAAACACTCTTTCACGTAAATTTCTTGGTTGACAGTCCCGGAAGCTATGAAAATGCTGCTTTTCAAGCCACAGGTACAGATGGCTTGCCAAACCAGATATTTCTTTGCGAACTTTGACAGTTTCATGTGCTTGAAAACATCTGCTACCTTTCCCCTTCCTTTTGCCGTATAAAACTCCTGTCCCGGAAGCTGCTTGTAGTCGGCTTTGACGTAGGTTTCGTCGTCCATTACCACGCAGTCAAACTTCGTCAGCATCGTCGTGTACAGCCTCCGGGATCGCGCTTTGGCCGTCGTATTTTGTTTATCATCGCGATTTGGAGTCACTACCTTCTTGTAAGTCGATAGTCCGGCTCGTTTTTTGGCTCGATGCACGGTTTTAGACGATACACCCAGCTTATTTGCGGCATCTCGGAGAGAGAGGTTAGGGTTTCGCTTGAAACTACCGGCAACTCTCTTTGTCGTCTCAGCGGCTTCCGGTTTTCGATTTCCCCCCGATCCAGACTTCCTGGTTGTCGACAAACGTTCCCCAAACACTTTAATTACATTTGTAACGGTTGATTTGGCAACTTTTAGCGATTTTGCCAACTTTGCGTGCGAGTAGCTCGGATTTTCGCGATGCGCGAGCAAAATTTTGATACGCTGCTCTTCTTGCTTGGACGGCATTTTGACAACTGAAGAGTGAATTCCAAAATCAAAATAGGAGCAACATTCTACACACACACACCTTCAAAATGAGGGGTGTTCAGGTTTTTTAAATGCAAAATTGAAAGAAATACGTCAAGTTGATATTGACCAAATTTTGACCGTATCACCCTTTAGCAGCACTGCCAGCTGCCGCCTACTGCTGTCTATACGCGAGACAGCCACGTTGTGTGGGGGTTCACTCAGCATGAAGGAAAGCCGATATCATGCTGAAAGAATCTTCGATTTGGATGAAATTTTGCACAGGGTCATTTGGAAACAAGCGTTAATTTTCACAAGGGCGTCTTTGCTTTGGCACACAATTTATTCAAAACATCGTACTTGGAAAAACTTCGAGTGCAAAGCCGTCTAGGCGAAAAAATATGTAGGCTGAACATAAGGCTTTACGAAAAAGATATGCAGCTACCATCTTTACTTTTTCGTCGATTTCAACTTTTGAATCGAAAAAAGCACAACTGAGGCTACCTGCCTTGTGGAATCTTAATCCTTTTGGAGGAACTCCACCCCAAAACATTACGACCAATTCGAGGAGCTTTCGTAATCTTATCGTTGTTGTTTAATCAACAGCTGGTCGTTACAAAACACGATGATTCCGTCCTTCCATGGTCCAGTTAAGGTCCTCAGCTCCGGATCATGCATAACGGTCTAGAATTTTCGGTTGCTCCGATTTTGGTTGAATTCTTTTTTGAATTCATTGAAAGAATCGAGATTGTTCATCGTGTTGAACACAATATCGGCGATATGATGGCGGTAATGGCAGCAAGTTTATTTTCAGTAGAACTGGAAGACGGGTTATAATACCATTTGTTTACGCCAGAGTTAACACTAGTTGTATCAAAGCTCATTCCAACTGTTCTTTCCTGCAGACCCCACTCGTTGATTGTCTCCATCATCGCAGCTGTTTCAGCATCCGCCATTCCGCATGTTACGGAAGGTACCGAAAGATATTTAGACACCCCTGCTCCAGTAACAAGAATGAGAAGCCGATCAACGCACTTTCTGTTGATGCCAGGCAGAATATTTCCATCCCAGTGTACTACCAAAGGTACATCAGTTTCAAAGCTTTGCTTCAGCTGGTAAATGTTTCAATCAAAATGAACAAAATGAAAATAATATTAGCTATGCAAACAAATTTAGAAATAAAATCTCAACAAAGAATTCAAAAATTATAGAATTTAGTAATTAACTAATTTAAAAATTTTGGAGTCGAAGAATTTAAGAATTTTCAACTAATCGAATTTTAAAATTTGTGTCTTTTAGAGTCATAGTTCAAAATAAAAGCAGAGAACGGCGAATGGTCTGATAATATATAGCGTAATCAGATGTGTTGAACGACATCGTGTTATTGCCTTCAATTAATGCTTCCAAAATCATACTCGCATTTCTATTAGATATTCCAGTTCTTTCAAATGTTGCTGCAACATTCGCAGATGTGATGTTCATTTTTTTTAACTTGTGTACCTGTAAGTACAGAAAAAAAAGGAGAACCAACCCGGAACAATCGTAAAAGTGGTCAATTTATGAAATTGGTCTTAGAGCTTAGAGGCGACTGAGTTACCTTCCAGATTACACGGATTGACATGAAGTAACCAATTATGCGGATAGACCAATCCAGTGGATAGAAATTAACGGAGTCTTGGATCCCCAAAGGGCGTTTATGATCGATTTCCGGCCTCTAAACGTCGTTCCCGTACTTGAAATGCCCATATTGTGGAGTATTTGACCCTTTTTTTATCTTGGATTCCAAAATGGCGTCAATCATCGATTTCCAACTTCTAGACATCGTCCCCGTACATATTATACGGTATTTAACGGTATTATGGCGTCAATAATCGATTTCTAGCCTCTACAGGTCGTCTTCGTTCTGGGAATACCCATATTTAGGAGTGTTTTATACTTGTCAACATACCGGAAGTCACCATTTTCCGAAAGTTCACCCCATGATCACTAAGGTCCTTTTTTGGTCACAAGTCCGAATTATTTGTATTGAGTCCTCTCTATGCGCTTTCTAAAAAAACGCTCAGTTCTTTTATGAACTGACCACTTTTACGGTTGGTTTGGACCTTCTGAAAAGTTATCCGGCCCTCAGGGTACATTTTCCACAGTAGCAAGTCCAAAAGAAATTCTAATGAGTCTTTTAGAATTCCTTTCGAAAAAACCGCAGAGCTCTAAGACCAATTTACGGTTGTACTGTAATTTTCTAAAGGCGACCCTGTCCATTTGCCGGTCACAAGTCCGAATTTGTTCTAATGAGTCTTCTAGAAGTATATATTATAAACTAACCACTTTTACTAATGTTCCGGATTATTTGAAAGGTTACCCAGGTTCCGGTCACAAGTCTGAATTCATTATAATTAGTCTTCTAGAAGTGCTTTCGAAAAAAAAAACAGAGCTCTACGCCCAGTTTCATGAATTGGCTATTTTCTCTGTTGTTCAGGACCTTCCGAAAGCTCATCCAGTAGACTCCAGTGTCCATTTTCCGGTCACAAGTCTGAATTCGTTCAAGTGAGT